AACACAAAAACCATTAATCATTACCAAATTTCATTTAACACCCTTTCAAACTCTAAATATTGTATCAGACTAGGTATACATTAAGAACTGCAGTAAATATACAAAGAATAGACACTGAACATGTATTGCGTGTGCCAGGTGTGATCCATGTGGGGCGATGGACACATAAGAGTGGGACATGTGTCAAATTGTTCTGTGTGTGTGTGTGTGTGTGTGTGTGTGTGTGTGTGTGTGTGTGTGTGTGTGTGTGTGTGTGTGTGTGTGTGTGTGTGTGTGTGTGTGTGTGTGTGTGTGTGTGTGTGTGTGTGTGTGTGTGTGTGTGTGTGTGTGTGTGTGTGTGTGTGTGTGTGTGTGTGTGTGTGTGTGTGTGTTTTATCTAATCCGGATGGTTACTAATTCCTTTTCTTTATGGCGGTCATTTTTGACCGGGAACACCATGGGTGTTACAAAGTTGACTAAATCATCCAAAATTCAATTAAAGTGGTGATCAGCAATTTTATATGTTCAAATATCTACTGTGAAGGATATCATAAAGCCTAATGCAATCGAATCTAAAACAAAAAAGTTATGATTGATGAAAGTAGTAAATCGATCAGATTTGACCCGAAGACAACAGGAGGGTTAATAAGTAATCAGATGTAACCTTTGAAAGGAGCTAAGCTAACTTTTCCTACCTTCACCCTAAGCTAATTTAGCTAGCTGATGGGGGTAAATGAATATCTAGCATACACACAGCCATGATAGTGATATCAATCTTCTTATGAAACTACTGCTTTAAACAAAAACAGTGCAAAGTAGAAAGGAAAGTACATTTTGTTCACTCAAATGCTACTAAGATAGCATCATACAAATAAGCAGCTGTAACATTTAATGTAAAACCCTCAGTTGCCTTCTACTGCATACAGATGTGACACCAAAGATATAAAGATAAAACAAATTAGATGTCAAGTGTAAAGAAGTGGGTTTAAAGGGGGTTGTCAGTAGATTTTGTGACCTTTGAAAGGAGCTAAACTAGCATTTCCCCCCTTTCCCCCCTAAACTAAGTTAGCTAGATAACAGTGGTAGATTAAGCATAGCCTACAGACATGAAAGTGATATTAATCATCTGATGAATCTATTGCATTCAACCAAACAGTACAAAGAAAAGTACATTTGTTCATTATCCAGATACACAAATACTTAGTCATGCTTAACAACTGTCATACTTCATTAATGATTTTCAGAAATCTATCATTTAGAACCCTTCATCTAGCAATATGGTGAGATAGCATCAACCAAATAAGCAGCTGTAACGTAAAGACGATGTGAAAAACCTCAGAGGTACCTTTTTATGAATACAGGTGTGTCACTAAAAATAGAACTAAGACATCCTCAAAATTAGCTCGAAGCCAAATTTCCACAGAAATGATCCATCCACTGGATCTCACATTACAACAGAGAGAGAGAAGAAAATACTGTTTAAAAATGCAGGACGGAACCTTTGAAGCTCCATCCGCAATTTAATCAGTTAATATTTAAAGCAGGGATATTCTTTATATAAGGCATGTGCACGGGCGGAAATGAAGACTTAAAGACTGGGATATTATGAGGAGGAATTTTTTATCCAGTTGCACATTTTTATCAGACATTATAATCATTGGTATTCAGACGCCTGAACTGCCTTTAATAGCTCGTCAGACATAAATGTGTAAACTTGTTTTTAAGGATCGCCCTCCTCAGGGAACAGACCCTTCATTATCATGGGTACATATTGTATTAGGAGACTATACAATGCAGTCAAATGCAGATGTTGTGGCTAAATGCATCATCCAATTCTCCGTATGCATGTCCAATGCTTGTTTATAAAAGGATATGCTCACATTGTCCCAGATGTTTTAGCGAACATTTGACATCCTTTCATTTTCCAAAGCAATTTGAAATAATACCCAGACATGTATTTATAATAGCAATGCTGGATTATGCATGAACAGAGAGCAGGACAGAATGAAACTCTTCACAGTGGGAAATAAAAATAAATGACATTTGAGTAACACCTACACATGTAGACACACGGTCACACATTTTGTGATCCTCGCATTATCATAATCATTTTACAATTTGCTGAGGCACATTATCCATAAAGCTGCAAACCCATTAGAGAGGAGAATACCGCAGCTCTGCACTTTGATGACAGCGAACCATGAAGTCTGCTTCACAGCCCGATCCGACACACTATTAGTGGATTGACCTGTGAGTGAGGACGAACACAAATGCATGAAAAACGTGCAGCCACACACACAGTCACGAAACCATTTGACCGAACGCCCCACGCAAAATCGCACAAAACACATTGTAGGTAAATGTCACTTTCACAAAACAAAATTACCGCCCTGGAGGAATTATGCCAAACATAGTAATTTTCCAGCAGTCACACAAACAAATATGCAGAGTAGGGCGATGACAACACAGAAAGCAATTCTTCATTTATCCTGAGTAGCTTGTCAGAAGATTACGTCGTCCACTCCATTCCATTCAAGGCAGATTTTCATATTTGAGTGCTTCTCGGCACAGGCCCATAGCGCACTTTAATTAAGCTTTGGCGTACATCGTATACATTAAATATAAAATGCTTAAGAATGCAGAAACGCTTCATATTAGATTTTGAGAAAAAAAGCCAGTCAACAGTATTTACTCAAATTATAGACAGCAAATGAGGGTTACGGTGAGATGCTTTTTTTTCAGAACCCATTGGCAGTCCATTAAAAAACTGATATTGTGTGTGCAAATCCGCTGAGACACAATGAGAGTGACATGGAATTAAGGGTTGTTATGTTATTCATTGGCAGCCAAAATCCAATAGAGAAGTCTTCTGATCGTTAAATGAAAAGTATCTCCAGTAATTGCTTCACTAAAAATTATCCTATTTAGCTTTTTTCCATGATCTGAACACAAGTGCAAAGAAGCAATTCCAGTGAGTCAGATGGTGCAGCAGACAGATTCCTAATCGCTTTGATTATGAACAATATGCTTCTCCATGTTCCTCAGGAGACGTTCTACCTCTGAGGGGAAAAGAGGGTTCAATGTAAGAGCTTGTCTGCCAGAACGAAGAGCTTTAAAGACGACCACCTCTGCCTGTCATCTTCCCTTAGACGTGGAGAGTAACAGAATTACTGGGGCACGCAAATGAACATGCGAGGAAATGGGCCAGTGCTTGACAGTGACACAGTTTGTGATTTGCATATGCTAAATGAGGCTAAAATATACACAAGTGAGGTATTAATTCCTGCTTCACACTCAAGTAGCACCGTTTTAGTCCCAGTATAGAGATTCAATCCCACAAAATATAATTGTTTTCATCATCAACTGCCCCTTGCATCAATCTCACAAAACACAGTACAGATTTTATGATAAAATAATGGGAAAAAAGTATTAAAATCCAAACCAATAACATTTCCTGATTTCCTTAAATGTCAATAAATACTTTCACATCATTTGAATTGGCTCTTCTGGGTCCAAATTAGAATGATTCATGTCCAAAGTAAAACAGTAATTGCCAACATCGTAATGAAAATGGATCCCTAGCAGATCTTTCTCATCAGCAGAACCTGCATGCCATTACCTGGAGTGTTTCAAGCCATTGCAGCATCATTTTTTGTGTGTTTTCAGGCACTTAAGCCAAGGCTGATTTCTTATGTTCGGAGGGGATACAATAGGACAATGGAGCACATTTAGGTTAAAAAGCAATGAGCTACAATGATTTTAAATCATATACAAATGGCAGTCACAAATCTTGTATTATACAGTTCTGATGCACATATGAGCTTTGTACCGTTCATACTGGGAAATACCACTCAATTTAAGAATAAGCATGTTTTGATCTTGTGGTATTTATGATCATGGGTTTAATACATTTTTTGTTTAATGATAGGGGCACTGATGGATGTTTGTATTCCCCTTTTTACCGAGGGGAATAGATGAAAACCGTTATCCTTGTGAAAATAAATAAAGCATGGATATGGACACATTTTTTATGAATGTGTCATTTGTGGCATTTTAGACGGCACATATATTATTCTTTTGAAGGGCCCTATTGTGCTTTTTTTCTTTTCTGAAGTGTTATATTGGTTTTTGTGAATGTAACAAGTCTGCAAAGGCTAAAATCCAAAGTACTAATGGCTTGCGCTTCATAACATTTTACGTGATTGGTCAACAGTTTAAAGATGTCCCGCTAAATAGCCAATCAGAGCGGACTGGGCTCTGGTTTCAGACAGAGGGTGAAAAGAGGTGCAATATGAGGAAAATAAAGAGCTTTTTGAACATTAAGGCATGGAGACATGTTACAGTACACACACAAAATACATATATGAACATTATATGTACTCTTTAAATGGAATATGCATCTGAGAAATTGGAATTGAAAAGGGAATGGGACAAACCGCCATGTCATTTGTGGCTATGGGGCTCAGTGCAAGGGTATTTATTAATCCAGATTTCTCTGCCATTATTCCATATGGGAGTCGCATATATTATATCTGAAATTCAGTGGTATTCCCCTTTAACACAGAATGAAGAAGTGTGACTGTGCCCAAGGATATGTGCATATTCATGGAGATTACTCCCAAGAAATGTCAAACACAATTCACATTCAATGACAAGGATTGCATATATTCCATCTCTACAAGCTGTTCCAACGACTCAAATGACAGATACGATTATCTTCTAAATAGGACACATTTAAACATTTGATCACATTTCACACAGAAGAGAGCCTTATCACAAATGACAATGGTTGAATATGGACATTTCAGCAGTGGTTTTACAATATTTAGCAATGAAAATGTAATCATTTTTGCAAGGACATTTTAGAGACATGTTTGACCTGCAGGAAAATGAAAAATGCATCATAAGCAGCCTTTTTAAAACACTTCCATTGATGCCCCTATTCTCAAAGGGGTTTGCAGATGTTTTCCAGCTGTTAGCATGATGACCTTAACCCAATGAGGGATTAAAAACAAATGTTGTAAAATGGAAACTTTTTATTTTCAAAAAGCAACAGATTACACAGTTAACTTTCAGCAAATGCAATCCTAACTGAAACTGTACTCACATTCGGGACTTCAAAAATGAAAGACTCACATACTTACACACACATCTATCTATAATATACAAAAAAAGAATACATAATAAATATTAAAATGGCCACAAGAGAAAAAAGTAAGTCATTGAAAACAATCAGTTTAGAGAGCAAATGTAGGGAAAGTAGAAACAAGACGGTGTGCCTTAAATGTCTTTTTTTGTGGGTTTTTTTTGTTTTACATTTTTTACAAATTGTGCAAGATTTCATACTAAGGCTCTGGTCTTGAAGTGACTGTTGTTTGATTCACACAGCACACACACTCTGAATCACACGCACATGCACCCACACACACACACACACACACACACACACACACACACACACACACACACACACACACACACACACACACACACACACACACACACACACACACACACACACACCCTGTGCTCTGAGCACTCTGTGGGGTGTAGCAAACCATTGCAGAATAAAAATGGGCTGCTCAGTGTATGGCCTGTGATGCTCATGGGAGTGGACCAGCTTTTAAAAAAATGGACATGCACTTCACATCGATGTGAAAAAACCTCCCCTCGCATCTAAAAAAAACAGCTTTTTAGGAGTGAATTAAATAAAAATAAATAAAATCCCAACAACCAAGAAACGTGACAATATCATAACCATTAAGGCAAGAACACCCGGAGTGGCATCGGCAATACTGTAACAATATGATAGTGTTTAGGTACATGGATATGATGACACATTTAACTTTTTTCTTCAATGTATTTTTTGAGCACACGTTTTGTTCGTAAAAGAAACTTTTTTTTTCAAAATCCAAACACAATTTCATCTTCTTTTCTTTTTTTTTTGCAAAAAGGTGAGTAGAAAAAAATAACAATGCCAGACACTAGGGACATTATGGATCGTAAAACTACAAGAAATTATTTCTAGTTTTAAGTTGCAACTTCAAAAACCACATATTTGTAAATCCCCACCATTAAGCCCCGCCCCCCCACCCCAGCCGCCCTGTAAATGAAAAAGATATCACTTACATTAAAACCATTTTATCCTCTTGTGATGGTGTATTCCAACAGTCACCAAGTGTTGCTTTACTTACAGCGGTTGTGTAGTCTGTTGCAAATGAAAGCATTCATTGTCTCGTTTGGAAAAAAGAGAAAAGTTGTCCTTGCAATGCAACCGGCGACTATTGACCAAAAAAAAGCATCTTTACATCTTGTTTTTAGTGCAACTCTTAAAAATGTAAAACATTTCCAGTGATTCCTTGAGAGGTATCATCTTTGTTTTTTGTTCTTTTTTCTTTTCATTTTTACGTATTTCACACCTCACAGAATCTTCAAAATATCCAAAGCAAGAGGGTTTGTTTTGAGTGTTTTGTCAATTATTTTTTCTTTTTTTTCAACTTTTTGCATCTCTGCATTGGCATGGCCTTCCACAATGTCCGTTTACTAGAACATAAACACAGGAGGGGGGATCCAGACCTCCTGCGTATTCCCAGTACCTCCAGCCTCCGTGTTTGATCGTATTCAATCATCCTGGCAGAGCCTCGTGATTGACAGTCCAACCTTCTACCTCTGAAAACAAGGGTTAGGAGAAGGAGGAACAGGAGGGAAAACTGGAAGATGAAGAGAAGAGAGATAGAAGAGAGAGTGCGCTGTACAATGGGAACAAGCCCATATCAAGATCAATCAGGGAATTAGAGACAAAGATGAGAAAAAACCAGCAAAACCTTCATATAACGCAGTAGGGTTCCCTTGGTAACCTGGATTTTCTGCAGTAAAGGAGTGTGGTGCTGAAGCAGCGCCGGAGCTCCCTGTTGGAGAAGATGCAGATGAAGGGATTGACCCCGGCCTGGGCGAAGCTCATCCACACGGCCGCCGTGAGGTAGCCCCCAGGGACCACTGGGCCCCTCGCAAACACCCGCCAGTAGCAAGCGACCAGATAGGGCCCCCACAGAGCCAGGAAGAAAAACGTCATGATGTAGAACATCCTACTAATCCTCTTCTCTGTTTTGAATTCATCCAATACCAGTAGACGCCTGCGGCCTGCTGCGTTGCTGTTCTGCCGGATGCCCAGCAGGGTAGGGGGGGTGGGGCCTCGACCGAATCCGGCCAGCCAGTTGGCCGCCGCCTGCCCGCTGGCGCCAGGCCCGTGGAAGGTCCAGTTCTGGCTGACAGCAGGCACGAACTGGACAGGCTTCATCTTCCGACGGTCATGCACGAAGAAGATGAGCTTGAGGTAAACCAGCTGTGTGGCCAGGAGGATGAGCGCCAGCAGGAGCATGAAGCCCAGCGAGTCGTTCGCCCTGAAGGAACGGTGCTGGAACGTGCACTGGTCCTCCTCCCGGATAAAAGAGTATGTCCCTACGTCTAGCACCGGCGGGAACGCCATAGCCACTGACAACGTCCACACCATGCAGATGACAGCCAGACAGGTCCAGAAGGTCAGCCTCTTGGTGTAGAAACGGTGGTGCGCGATGGCAAGGTAGCGAGTGACGCTGACACAGAAGAGCATAAACGCCGTGTGGAAACAGGAGAGGACACCCAGGAAGGCGATCACTTTGCAGGTCAGCGTGCCGTAGGTCCAGGCCGATCCATTCTTGACCGAGGTGAAGACAAAGGGGAAGCAGATGGCGGAGCGCAGGATGTCAGAGGCGCACAGGTCCAGCAGGAAATAGTAGGGCGCCCGATGCAGGCTCTTGTCTTTGACCAGCAGGATGGAGATCAGGAGGTTTCCAACCACACCGACTCCAATGATGAAACCCAGAGAGGTCAGTTTGAGGAACGTGGCGAGAGGAGAGACATTCTGCAAGATGGTGTGGTCCCCTGCATGGCTATAGTTCGCCATAGATGGAGGAGGGATCATAAAGATAGTGGAATAGCTTCAGCCAAGTATCATGATCTAGAGGTGGCAGGGGGAGGCGTTATATCCATTTGGTGGTGTGCTTTGAAGAGGTTTCCAGGCATATAGGCAACCTCTCCTCTAAGGCATCCTTTGTTCCTTTGTCTCATCACACCTAAAAAGAAATACAAAAGAAATCCCTGAAAAAATATCATCTACTCATCAGCACACAGTCCAACACAACAGCTGCATTGTTTTCAACTGTACACTGTGATAAGCACTTATTTCTCTCTGCATGCCATTTTTGTGTTTTTTTGGTTAACATTTCTAGATTTAAAGAGCTTTGCCTCAGCTTGAATACTTTGTCAAACACATACAGACAGACAGTGATGGAGCTTGAGCAGACTATGAAATTGTTACAATTATTTCAAGTGGCTTCGGAATTTCCTGAACAAAAGATGGCATAGCCCAGACTTCATTACGAAACGACGCTTCTGAACTGGTTGAAAAAAAAAATCCTCGGTTTGGATATGTCATTTTAGGGAAATTGTTCGTGCGCACGGTGAAACATTAAGAGAAATGCAGTCCAAAATAAGCTATTCTTGATCACACCTTATACCCTGCAGAACAGAGGACGGCTCTTTAAAGCGGTGGGTGCCTCGAATAAACTCGCCCAGCCTTCGTGCATGGTGGAAAATCGACGGAGGGTGCATACATAATAAAGCATCCGTGTTTTTGTCTTGATTAAAGCTTCACTGGATTACTGTCCTCACGTTAATAAGCAGTGTTCTCATTAGGGCGTTTATTGAGCCAGTCAATTCTCCCCATCATCTTTTTTGTTATACAAGTAATTACAAAGAGTAGCATTTACATTCAGAGACACTAAAGCCGCATTTCGACATCATTTGGCTTGAGAGTGCGCGGGTGTGATTACCAGTCAGGATGGATTGAAAAGGATCGGTTGGTAGCGATAATAACAAGCCTGCTGATAATAATATTCCGTGATTTTACACTCAATATGTATGCTTTCATTATTTTTATGAAATGACACAGGCTATGGTTACATCTGATTACATAAATATCGCCGTTTGGAGTCTACTTACGCGTTTTAAAGCGTCCTTAGATCGTTTACGCGCGTCTGAATCCGAGGGATTTCAGTGAAAAAACTAAAAAGCAGGGTAAAGTCATCGTCCTTTGCGTCCAACTCGGCTGGATAAAGCATCACCGAATCCGTACCTCCATTAGACTAGAATCATTCCCAAGTCCGCGCTATGGATTGCCCAGAATCGCAGCCACCACACAAGACAAGGCCAAAAAAAAACGGATAGAGCGCGAGGGAGAAATAGAGAGAGAGACAGACATCCGATCACAAGATCAATCAAAATCCTACCTGTTGAAAATCCGATTTCGTGTCCCTCCTGCCGGTTATTTACATTGCACCAGTCGGGGTTTTTTTTTTTTAATAAGCCTGGTTTGTTGCCTGCCCCCTTTTTTTCCTCCTCGGTGAATATCCTACAGTAAACGGAGCCCAATGCGCATGCGCCCTGCATCCCTATTTGTGATCCAAGACGCGTCTCGTCTCTTGTTGCAGCAGCAGCAGCAGCAGCTCCCCCCTCTCTCTCACGGTAACATCTGCTCATAGGGTACTGTAACGCGTTACATTATCACCTGGTAACGTTTGTTAGTGATTACTTTTTACTGACACTTTACGGACATATTTCTCAATTTCATAGATTTAAGATTGATTTAAATCAGTGGTTTGTAATAATAAAAAAGAGTATTACACTGAACGATGTTTAGTTCTTTGTATATTTTATGATTATTTCAATGTTTCTGACCTTTTTACAGGGTGTTTGCCATATCCATTAGGTAATAGCATCCTACTTGAATACATTACAGAAATGTTGAAGCATGAAGCGAAGGGTTAAATCAGGCAGCCTAGTCACCTCGAGGTAGAATGACTTCCCCTGTACTGTATATGCATAATTGACAGGCACTTTGCGCACCGTTGTTAATCCTGCCCGGGCAGCATGATAAATTCATAGGATTTGATTTCTCAACCATGGAGAGCTGTGATGTCATGAGCAGCTTAACAAGTGAACAATGATTCAACCTGCCACATGTACACACAATGCTTTGTCTCTAACTGGGCTATGACACATGATTTTTGTATGATCATACATGTTGGAAATGTGTCAGTGCTGTGTGACATACTGGGGGGAAATGTGCAGATTTCAATTTTTTATGATAAAAAAGGATTCCACTGAGTGTAGTTTGCTCCTTTTCAATCCTAGCACACCAGATATCACAGACACAGGGACCCACTTATTGATAATGAATGCAGACAGTGGGTTGTAGACAGGGGATACAGTAGACTCTGAATGATTAATATACGGCAAATGCAACTTTGTTAGGGAATTACCGTCCAGACAAAGATGAATTAATGTGAAGGCCTTAACGATTTTCTGCATATCCCAATATTCTCTAGTGAACAATCACTCATTTGGCACAGATATTATGATGCATCATCCCAAGGATGAATAATGACTTTAAATAATCAGCTACACAAGTTTGATAAAGTTGATCACCACTTCAGGTTTTGTAGCGAGAACAAATAGTGGTTTTGTACGTGTAATTATATTTGCTTTAATTATTTACTCAAGTGCTGTACCTAAGTTCTACTTTTAAGGTATAATTATATTTCTAATCAAATGTATTTTTTATGTATGGTTAATGAAATACTTTAATTTATCTCTTCCAACCATAGCAAACAGTAAAATTATTTGCACAGTTTGAAACAGCAATAACAATATAATAATGTCACAGAGGAACATTTACAGCCTCAAGAGGAGTTATTTAACTTTTCGGAAAAAAATGTGCTTATTATTCTTTGCCTTTTGAAAATAAGGGTTTTATATGCAGGACTTTAATTATAAATGTAGCTTTTGCTGAATAATAAAACATTATGCCAACTCTGACTGTACGCAACAGACACTAGGCCAAAATGTAAACTTTAATTTAGAAAGTGTTACAGTGAATTGTATTATAAGTATACATTTCTCCATCTCTAAAACCCATAGTACACTCACTTTTGTGAATGAAAGAAGAGTAGAGTACAAAGCAAACAATCAAAAATATCATGCAGACATGAGTTGTGGAGAGAATCAATTTATTATTCTCACGCAGCTATTGTTGCATACTGTAACAGCAGAAACAGCTCCTCTCTTTAACCACACTTGTGATATTGTGCTTTAAAACAATAGCAATGTTGTGTTGCACATTGCGGACCCATCAGGAAATCACAGTGGTCCATCCAAGCATGGAAACAATAAGCAATGCAAGCATAATCATCATAGGATAACATACAGTAGCAAGTATGTCCATAAAGAAGGCAACAGTGTTTGGTCTTTAATCTCAGCAGAGCAACAGTAGCCGTTTTTCTTTGGACTTCCTGGATCCAGCTTCTGCAACACGTGTTCCCCTCTGACGCATTAATCCCAATAAAGCACGTTTTTTATCAGCCGATCCGACACAAATCTCAGTGCCAGAAGGTGCACAGTGGATTAGAAAGAGCTATGCAGTATTGCGGAGGATGATAACAGGACAGGACAAGCGCACGATCACGAAGAGTCTCTCGCTCACAGCTGCGCGTTCCGCCTCCGTGCGTACCAGCCGAGGAAGGCGCAGAAGCCCACCCCGGCGAGGATGGAGCACAAGAGCAGGGCTAAAGCGTCCCCTGCGTCGTAAGCCTCCGCCGGGGGCACCAGGGAGAGCAGGAGCAGCCCGGTGATCGCTGCACCGTGGGGAAGTTGAAGTTTGGGAACCATGTTGTTGCTGTGTTGACTTTCAGGAAGCTCCTGCGTCACAGTCATATGACAGCAACAGCCTGGACTTCCTGGTGCGCTCAGCCAATGGGAGAGCTGATTCATTCTAACGTCTGCCAACAATTTTTTTTTATGATAAGAGAGATAAGATAGTACTTTATTGATCTCAATATGTGAGTTGCAGCAGCATAAAAAGACATGGCATTGTACAAACCAAATTAAAAGACAAGAAATAAGGAAGAAAGTAGAACATATGTTGAATTTACAAATGCACAATAACAAGATATAAAGCAAGGTATTATATATACATTAAGATTGACTTTATAGTTTTGTGAAAAGGCTCTGTTGTTGTCAGAGTTGGAAGAAGTATTCAGATCTTGTACTGCAGGAAAAGTAGAAGTGCCAGAGTGTAGGAATACTCTGTTACAAGCAAAAGTCCTGCATTCAAAATGTAACTCAAATAAAAGTACAAATTAGTCACAAAATATTCATTATGCAGATTGGCCCATTTCAGAATAATATATATTATATGCATTGATTAGTTGATTAGTTAGTGTTATCAAAGCTGGTAAAGGTGCAGCTAGTTTTAATGACTTTGTACTGTAGGGTAGCTTGTGAATTTACTCCAGGTAACTAAAGTCTGATTTGAGTGTTGATTATATTTCACATTAATAATACAAATCTGCAAAGTAACTCAATGTTCAAATAAATGTAGTGGAGCCTCTGTATTGTAGCTAAACATTGAAATACAATTAAAAGTACAAGTCTCTCAAAAAGTACAGTACTTAAGTAAATGTACTTAGTTACTTCACACCACTGATCGTTCTGATTTCATTTTCACAGTTTAATACAAACGTGTTCTGATATTATTCCACAGTGTGTGGATTTGTGACATTGCCGCTCTTATTAGTGACGATCAGTCTGACAGGCTGTCATTTCTTCATGTCCCTCCCCCTCAGGCCCTGCTATAAACAAATACGACTTTTTTTTTACATCAGTCATGCTCATTAACAGCTGCTGTCTGAGCTTCATACTCCATTTGAAGACAAACATGTGTTGACATGCATAGGCTATAACTGTATGTTGCATGACACACATGTTGGTCAAGGTCAAATAACATGGCAATCAGACAAAAGTTGGGTATTTTTCAAGGTTTGTGAACTTCTCTGATTCATTTTACTATTTCAAATTTGCCAGGGAGAGATTATTTACAAAGAAAGAACTCAAATGCCATCCCAGCTGCTCTGTTGTACCTTGATACACCCCTGATCTACTTAAAAAAAGTTGAAAGTACTACAAATCGTCTGTGTATAGCGACACCAACGTCTGAGCTCATGCTACAAATTGTTTGGCTTGCAGAGCTGAGGGGGGGCTTGTATCTCTCTGTGTGCTCTCCTGGGGCACTTTGCCTGTAATTTAATTAGCGAGCACAAGCCAAAGTAAAATATTGACCTTGTAAGGCTGCCATACCTCTGTACCTGCCTGCTCCCAGCGAGGAGATGAATAGGCACACATTCCCTCTGCTCACTCTTCACGCTTCCTCATCATACACTCTCTCTCTCTCGGCCCTGCTGTCTGTTTGGCAACGCGTCTCACACACACACTCGCATACATACAACTTTCTGTTGTTTTTAGTCGTGTCTGATCTCTATGGTCGCATTTCGATGACCATATGGCCATTACAAGCTTCTTATTAAGCTCATTAAAGCGCTGAATCTGTATTTTTTTTGTAGACTAAAACCCTCACTTCAGAGATGTTTTTAATGTGCAAAGCCTTCAAATATGTCCTTCAGATTCACACTGGCAGATACACACAGAAGCAGCAGCGCTGACTGTGGATCTCAGCAGTGTTGGTAATTGATCAGTGGGAGGATGAGAGAATATCCAGAGTGGAGTGTGTTTGTCAAACAGGCCAGCACAGTGACATTCATCTTACTGATGTGTTCTGCATTGTAATGTGCTGCTCAGCACCAAGGCCCTTTTCTGAAATTCGCCTCCATTTTTATGTAAGGAAGGATACAATATAATTCAGCTATTGTGAGAATGTGCTTATTTCTCCAAAGAGTATATTTGTTTGTGGTCATATTTGTGGAAAGGTACAGCAAGGTTATTCAAACTTCCACCGTGTGCTATGTGGTGGAAGGACTAAGTACTTATATCAAGTGCTGTGTTTCAGGGCATTTGTGAGGTATTGTACTTTACTTGAGTATTTACATTCTATGCTACATCATACTTATACTGCACTACAATTTCCATGTCCATGCAATCAATCCAACGGTCACTGGACAACATTTCAAATCCAAACAAGGTACTTGACCGTATAATACTTCAAATAACAACTAGGTTTATGACTGTACTTGTATGACAAAGCACAGATGGTACAGCGCAGCAGCTGACAACATCACTTCACTGCAGCTTAAATTGCCTGTGTTGCTATGCTATGCTGAATTGAAGTGATAACAAGCATTTCTTAATGCTCACCCACACAGATATTGCACTCATCAAATTACCACTACTGACATTGTCACTGTGAAGCAAAAGTTCACACTATCTGGAGAACACAATTACAATAGCAGAACTTGTTCCTGTTATTTTAAATATGCACAAAACAAACAGCAATAATAGAAATACAGGTTACGTGTTTGAGAAAAGGGTTTCTGTGTTGATGCATTTCAAAGGACTATACTTTCGCTTTTGACATTTAAATACCTTTTTCCCCTCAGCCGTGCTAATGGCTGCCAGGAAGTCAGTGGCATGCCTGGCAAAGGAAGGTGCTCTATACAAATATTAATCTCAACTGGGGTTTTAACTCACTAAAGAAAGGCACTGGTTGCCGACAAACAATCTTTACAAATATAAAAATCTGTTGAATAAGGCTGTTTTCAACCATTGTAATACTTAATATATAAACATCTCCCGTTTAAATCTCCATCTCTTTGTTCACCAGTGTATCTTTTTTATTTTCAGGACACTCACCTGACCTGAAATGAGTAAGAGGTACGATGAAAGGCCAGCTCACATAGTCCTTGGTTTTGTAATCATCATCCATTCTGAATTACTTTCCACAACAGTGAAGACAGAGTTCCACCTTAACCAACCAGCACAAAACATCTCTCACTGGAGATTAATTATGTTTTGAAATTGGTTTCTCAGAAAACACTGAAAAGCTGACCCTATAAAAGGAATTGCCGCTTTTGTAGTGGTTCAGTGCCCCATCCATAATGAATTGTAGTGTAAGGGACATGACAAATGGATTTCCTTGTGTCTTTTGTGGCAGTGTACGAGATGTTAAAATACTTGATAGAGCCTGAATAAAGACCAGAAAAAGAAGAAAGGGCAGCTCGGCCCAGCGCAACACGGTTTTGGACCACACTGACTCACACAGTGCTGGAGATGTGGGTTGAAATACATCACAAAACCTCCAAAAAAGATGAATGACGCAGTGTAATTATCTATTCATATTGGAAGCTGAGAGGGAGTCTGAAGGCAGACGCTTAAAAATCACAACTGAGTGTTACGCTGACAGTTGTATAATGCTTGAAAGGGTAATCAATTCATTTTTGCTTTGTGTTTGCAGAGAGTTGAAATTTGCCTGAGAACATTTTTCCTGGTGAATATTTTGTCATCTATTATGTCCACGTAAATGTTATCATTATGTGATTTGCAGGTAAAACCTTATTTCTCCGGGAATTCTCCTATTTTTGTCTGAGTATGATTGAGTGCCAGTCTCTTACTCACAAGAACTTTAATGCAAAAAGAATCAGAAGCCATGAAAATATGAGATGAGAAAGAAATGAAGACCTCTATTGATATTGATTTTCTACTTCTAGAGTTATGGGAAATAAGGTATTGAAGAAAGCGTTTGATCAGGGGCCTTCTTTGAAGCATCCTTTTCAAGCTGGAAATAAATCTTTCGAAAATACTTGATAGGTTATTTAACTGGCCAATCAAGCATTTAAGTATATTTTGAAAAGAAAAAACACTTTTCACAACATATCTTTCTAAGTTTGGACAGTAACAAAACCAAGTATTTGTTCAACGAGAATTAACTGAATGTGGGGCAGAACCAACAAGCTGTCAACACATTTTTGGTCTTTTTACAGCGTTTGCTTAGATATGGCAGTAAGCTAACAATAGCCTATTTAAAATCAAGGGGAATCCTTAAGGTCCAAAAGTGAAGCCACTGCAGAAGTAAAATTGCCAAAATCGGGGTCAACTTTACTTGCTTCAAAAGGAAGAATGTATTGAAGTCTATGAGAAGATTATCTCATGTCTCCCTTGAATAACTTCCTCATTATATGTTTTAATTAATAGTTTTTGGTATCAATCAAATCAAATCAAGTTTTATTTATATAGCACAATTATAAACGATTTTTGGTCGAGCCAAAGTGCTGTACATATAATAAAAATAGCCTACAGTAGAGACACTTTACAGCAAATACAACAGCACAGATTGTTCAGAATATCAGTATGAGAAAAATGACACCCTCTATCCTTAGACCTTCACATCGTACAAGGAAAAACTTCCAGAGAAAAACCACAGTTTAAGGGGAAAAAATGGGAGAAACCTCAGGGAGAGCAACAGAGGAGGGATCCCTCTCCCAGGACGGACAGACGTGCAATAGATGCCGTGTGTAAATCGAAGAGATAATACATTTTACAGCATATAGACCGAATGTTAGGAAATTCATCACTAGTTTAAAGTATTTTTGAATAAATAACAATGTTTAAGTAAATGATGGTCCAACTTAGAATCAAATACATGATAAAATATGGTTGGGCATCGTTGTGATTGACAGGTTGCTCCTACAGTGTTGTCTGACATGGGCACTCTTAGAAATATACCTTTCACAGTGTAAAAGTTATTTGAAAAATTTTGGTAGCCTAAAAATTAGTTGCTCAGCGTTTAATTGTACCTACAGTAGCGCCACCCTGTAATGTAATGTATGGCAGTCCAGGTCAGAACATGTCATAAGTATAAATAAATACAAGCATAAATAAATGTAGGAATAAAAACATGAATAAATAAATGAATAAATACAG